CTCTGCCGCGAAACTGAGCAATCACCCGAGAACCAACTTGAACAACTTCAGGGTCTGGGTTGACATCAGCAACAACAGCAGCTTGATCATGTGCATCATGAGAAATTGTATCCCCGTCATTAAACTTGATGTGGACTTGGGTATCCACATTGGATATTGTCCCACGGTGGTATGTCCCATCACTCCAGCGTCCCCATACTGGGGTTCTAGGGCCAAGACTTCCAGCTTAAAGTAGAAAAAAAATTATTTGCACAGTCAATGGGAAAATGAGGTCATCATGACATGAATACTAGGATATGTGTTTGATAGCTTACCATAGTAGCCTACCGATCCATTACCATGTATGTGCCCACCCTCTTCTAGAGTAAGGGTTCTGCCAGAAATCTTTGACTTAAGTTGAACAACTGATCCATTGCGGAAGCAGTCCTGAATAAGAAAACGATGTAGATTCAATCAGAAGTGAACACTATCATTTCCAAACTTGACGACCTCTGATCATATCTAGACATGGTAATTTATTCATTTTCTCAAGACTTAGGTGTGTCTTAGGTGTGTCTTCTAGAGTAAGGGTTCTGCCAGAAATCTTTGACTTAAGTTGGACAACTGATCCATTGCGAAAGCAATCTATCAAGCACACTATTATCTCCAAACTTGACAACCTCTGATCTAGACATGGTAATTTATTCATTTTCTCAAGACTTAGGTGTGTCTATTAATAATATATGATTACTAGTATCTTTGTTAAATATATGATTAAACAAGAATGAGAAAAAAACTAAAAACAGGAATATTATATATATATATTTTACTCACAAGAGTAGGACTTCCAAGGCTAGCCATGACTGAAGATATTCTTTTGAGAAAAATCGGTGGATCAAATGATTCTGAGAAAAATTCAACAAGCAAAAGAGTATGAGTTAATTAACTGTGAGTATTATTTAACTGCCAAACCAAACCACCTCAATGTGCAATGTAGAAGATTTATACTGAGTAATGAAAACGAGAATAAGAGCAGCTTAAGCTAGAAGGTAAACAGGAAAATCAGGGTTGAATTACATACATTATTCAGTAGTTATATCAAACAGGATATTGTATCGTATTGTCCTGTTAGACTCAGATGAGAGTTTTTAAATTAGAAATGGAAAATCCAGATCATAGTTAATAGAGGGGAATGGTTAGGAAACTCTATTGTTATAGGTTATTGTTCACGTTTTTCAAGCGTGACCGTGCACAATTCTYTGTTTTACCATTGTTTTACCATTGTTGGCAATGGCTGAGTGAACAGACAAAAATCTTTCTTTTGGCAGCTAGTTCAAAACACTTAAAGATTTTTAAAAGATATTTGAATATTCCTTACAATAATCCCGTAGACAAAGTTTATGTTTACTTATTTTGCAATTTTGAATGAGCATAAATCAAACATTGTGCACTGTCAAGACCGGTTCAACCTCACAAGCGAACAAAGACCTGATAACAATAGGTTTCCTAACCATTCCCCTCTATCAACTATGTCCAGATTAAATCACACTTTCGTCAAGAGAAAATGAGGTGTTTTTCTCACATTTTGCTGTTAAACAAACGTATTGAGTTCTGAAAGTGATTCTTTAATTAAATACCCGGAACGCCACGTTATTTCTCGAAATTCCTAAATTACGGATTTAAGATATCAAAACAACTATTGTTATCAATTTTTGGAATATGAAACTAAAAATTTAAGGAATTGAAATAGGTTTCGACGTCAATTCTGGGATTTTTTTGAGCTGTACTGGGAATATGGAGCCAGGGGTCTAGAGTAACGTTACATCGTTTAGTTGCATTGGGAATATATTGGGTAGCCAGCTATATGCAAGAGCTATTATGCGTATGCGTGTAAGCATTTTGTACATGTATCCTAGATCGCAACAGCTGAGGGAAGCCGTTTCAAGGCTCAGTAATGGTGCAGTGATCATAACTATGATCAGCAGTTACAACTTCTCTAGAAATAGCCATTTTAATTCTACGAGTTGAAAGAATACCAACCTTAAGCTTCTTGGCAAAGGATTCCAGCTTGAATAAATTAACGGCCACAGCGGAAAAGGATCATGTGATCTTTGATCCGTCTGGTGTCTTTACGGGGGAGGGGACGGTCTTAGGCCAGATACTAGCGCTAATCACGAAACGACTGCTCCAAGTTGAGGTCAGACTTCATAAAAAAAAAAGTTATAAATCCTGAGGTATTGCACGGCTGAGCGCGTGGCCTATTCGCCGCATTGGTAAAAAAATAATTATCACTTGAATTGTCGCATCTTTATTTCTAACACTCCATCTGAGCCAAAAGGCTCGGGGGAAAAAACGTATAATATTTCTACATTTTAAAAACGGGACGTCCGCAGGATAAAAGAGGCATGGGTTATGGAAGAGACTAATCCTTTGAAATGAGATTTCTGAATAAAATTTTAAGTGAAATTTCTTGTGTGTCAGAGTGGAACGTCTCGAGAAACGGCGGGAAACATCCGCTGAACCAATGCATATGGAACTGAATGGATCAACAACTAAAGTATGGGTCATCAATATGACCTGGGGTTTTCCAGACAATCTTGAATCTCTTGTACCATCTACTCTTCCTGGGCATGGTCTTCCTGCCCTTCTACCACCAGAACCCTTGTTCTCATGTGATAATCTAGCCCTACTGCCAACACAATCTGGGTTTTCCAGGCAATCTTGCATCTTCTGTACCATCTACTCTTCCTGTACCTGGTCTTCCTACCTTTCTACCATCAGTGCCTTTGTTCGCTTGCCGAATTCCAGTTCTATTACCCTTCATTTTCCTTAGGCACCAATTGCTAAAAGTTCTTTCACATCTATGACCCAGAGATGACTTTTGCCTTCGTTTTGCGTAACGTATACTCTTGCTTAATGTTTCCATGGCAATATCTGCTCTTCGAAACATCCGTTCCAGGCATGCGTCGTTGGCGCGTAAACTGGAATATAAAGTGTGTACGTCCATAAAATCTGTTATATCGGTTCTAACAACTGGCTGAGCAGGAAAAGAGTGYCTTGAATAACAGCTATCAATACTTTGTTCTGTCTGTTTTTCTTGTTTTTCGACAGATTTCGGAACTGTGTAATTACTAGTTATTTTTCTGTCAACCATGATTATTTTTTCGTGCCGAAAATCGGACTCTTCCTCACGTGACTTTGGATTTTGAACGTTGACAGGCAAATGGCTTCTTTTGTTATCCTTCCATATTTTAATTGTTGTCAAAAACGTTTCGCCTTCTGAAATATCTTTCTTGCTTATATTTATACCAAGCCTTGACATCTGGGGATTTTTCTCTTGAGTTTCTAGACGCTGTTTATAGTTTTCTAGATGATCTTGGTTGTCAGTCTTCACTTGGTCATTTGAAACTGTTGTCTTTTCATTTTCACTTTGCTTTACTGTTGAGCAACAACAAGAACCCATATTCTCACTTTCTATCAGTTTAATATAAATACAAGATGCATACAGCAAAAAATTCAATTCATTACACCGTTTCGGGTTATAATTAGAACTGTCTGTGACGTTAACCATGGATGATAATCATCCATGTTTGTGGTTTGTATATACCAGCTTTGTACACATGTCCCGAAACTTTAGAAGATGATGAAAATTTAACTGAACGGGAAAAAAGCGTAAAAACCTTATGACCCAGAATGATCTATGTCGTTAGAAATAAAAGGAAAAATAATATATAGTGAGAGATCAAAAGAATTAAGAAAAAAAGCTAAGCTTATGTATATATACCATAAGTTTATGAACAAACTTATTGATAAGTTTAGCCGAGTCGATCGATGGAGGGATGAAAATCAAACTATCTAAAAAAGGAGAGATAAAAAGGATGCAATATCAGAAAACATGCAATTGTAGAGTTTACATACATGTTTAAAAGTTAAGTTTAGCTTAAATGTTTTAATTTTTTGTCTAATGAATGAACACTCACGTACCTGGCAATATAGAGGCGTATTTCACCTATCATATCTCCTCGATCGATTGATGGTTTTCATCCTTTCTCTAAAATGATTAATAGATGTTTGAATCATGAACTATATTGTTATGAGTCACCTAAAACGATATTTTTGATTCACGAAATTAGGATTTCGATTTTTTTCCTAATCTCATGTGAGATCTTCTCTGATTGGCTCCCTCTGGTTTTGGCGGGATTTTTAGCCACACACTTCATCTCCAAAAAAAAATCTCACGTTTTGTAAAAAGAAAAAATACAATGAAAATCACTACTTATTATTTTGAAATCACTTAATTTTTTCAAGTAAAATATGCATAAAAAAATTTTGTCGTTGTTGTCAAACGCCGTTTGCGTGACGTCCATTTCCAATTCCTTGCATGACAAGAATGCGAGAAATGTGTGAAACCCGTTGGAGACCTGAGAACGAGTTGATGTGTCAACATGGCGGCTGTTCTGGTTCAGGACTGRCSGACAAAACAACTCAAAAACAACGCTTTTCTTTACGAAATGACGCCTTTTTACACCTTAAATGAGAATATTCTTATATTCAGTCCCTAGTCTAGTTATCTGAAGAGTTACATCACCAGAGGATGGCCGGCTGGGGTGGATTTTCAGAGGAAGATCTTCATCGGTTGAAGAAAGATCAGGTCACAGAGCCTCTAGGGAAAGAACAAGCCGAGGAAAAACCTGGAAATATTAGGAAAGCTAATATAAATCCAGGTCCTAAAAGAACAAAACCAAGAGAAAAGATAAAGACTAGAGCTGCGGCTTCTAAAAAGAACTCCAATGAGAAGCCAAGCGCAAATGAAACTCAATGTCTGAAGGAAAATAGTGGTGAAACTATAGAGAAATTTGCAAAGTTGGAAGTCGAAAATTCGACTCCAGAGTTTGAAAGAAATATGGTTGACACTAAAGTGGAAGAAAGCTCAAAAACTCAAAAGGAAGTGGATGTAGGAAATGTTAATGGTAGTGCAGAAAATTTTCCCGATATAATTTTAGAGCCTGAAAGGTAAGCCTATAATTTATGTGATTTTTACAATTTAAAGTAAATGCACATTAGCTATAGAGTATTTTACTAGATCCCAAAGTGCTTTATTTTTTTTGCATTAAGCATCAAATATTCTCTTCAATTTCATTATAATGAAAAAAAATTTCAAGAGAATGAATTTGACATAAAAGCTGAAAATAAGGCATTTTGGGATTTATTATAAAGGTCTATAACATGCTTCATATAGCAGATGTGGTTACCATAGCTACATTCAAAGCACACCCATTTTCATAATCACTAACACCACCCAAGACGTCTGGGGTTTTGGCTTCCATCAATTCAGTCATTAGATTTAACTCGGACGTTCAGAAATTAATGTTGTTGTTTTTAATTACTTTGTTAATAGAATACAGGCTATTGAATTGTCTGCTCTGCAAAAGATGCAGCAAAAACAAAAGGAAATTGAAGACCAGAATAAACTGAAGAAAGCAGCTATCCAAGAAACAATAAAAACAAGGTATTACAAATTGACCGAGGTCCAATAGCCCACCTCTGAGATATGCTTTGATTGTCACGCACGAAGATTTCAGTATGAGGCTACATGCTANAACTATGTCCAGATTAAATCACACTTTCGTCAAGAGAAAATGAGGTGTTTTTCTCACATTTTGCTGTTAAACAAACGTATTGAGTTCTGAAAGTGATTCTTTAATTAAATACCCGGAACGCCACGTTATTTCTCGAAATTCCTAAATTACGGATTTAAGATATCAAAACAACTATTGTTATCAATTTTTGGAATATGAAACTAAAAATTTAAGGAATTGAAATAGGTTTCGACGTCAATTCTGGGATTTTTTTGAGCTGTACTGGGAATATGGAGCCAGGGGTCTAGAGTAACGTTACATCGTTTAGTTGCATTGGGAATATATTGGGTAGCCAGCTATATGCAAGAGCTATTATGCGTATGCGTGTAAGCATTTTGTACATGTATCCTAGATCGCAACAGCTGAGGGAAGCCGTTTCAAGGCTCAGTAATGGTGCAGTGATCATAACTATGATCAGCAGTTACAACTTCTCTAGAAATAGCCATTTTAATTCTACGAGTTGAAAGAATACCAACCTTAAGCTTCTTGGCAAAGGATTCCAGCTTGAATAAATTAACGGCCACAGCGGAAAAGGATCATGTGATCTTTGATCCGTCTGGTGTCTTTACGGGGGAGGGGACGGTCTTAGGCCAGATACTAGCGCTAATCACGAAACGACTGCTCCAAGTTGAGGTCAGACTTCATAAAAAAAAAAGTTATAAATCCTGAGGTATTGCACGGCTGAGCGCGTGGCCTATTCGCCGCATTGGTAAAAAAATAATTATCACTTGAATTGTCGCATCTTTATTTCTAACACTCCATCTGAGCCAAAAGGCTCGGGGGAAAAAACGTATAATATTTCTACATTTTAAAAACGGGACGTCCGCAGGATAAAAGAGGCATGGGTTATGGAAGAGACTAATCCTTTGAAATGAGATTTCTGAATAAAATTTTAAGTGAAATTTCTTGTGTGTCAGAGTGGAACGTCTCGAGAAACGGCGGGAAACATCCGCTGAACCAATGCATATGGAACTGAATGGATCAACAACTAAAGTATGGGTCATCAATATGACCTGGGGTTTTCCAGACAATCTTGAATCTCTTGTACCATCTACTCTTCCTGGGCATGGTCTTCCTGCCCTTCTACCACCAGAACCCTTGTTCTCATGTGATAATCTAGCCCTACTGCCAACACAATCTGGGTTTTCCAGGCAATCTTGCATCTTCTGTACCATCTACTCTTCCTGTACCTGGTCTTCCTACCTTTCTACCATCAGTGCCTTTGTTCGCTTGCCGAATTCCAGTTCTATTACCCTTCATTTTCCTTAGGCACCAATTGCTAAAAGTTCTTTCACATCTATGACCCAGAGATGACTTTTGCCTTCGTTTTGCGTAACGTATACTCTTGCTTAATGTTTCCATGGCAATATCTGCTCTTCGAAACATCCGTTCCAGGCATGCGTCGTTGGCGCGTAAACTGGAATATAAAGTGTGTACGTCCATAAAATCTGTTATATCGGTTCTAACAACTGGCTGAGCAGGAAAAGAGTGYCTTGAATAACAGCTATCAATACTTTGTTCTGTCTGTTTTTCTTGTTTTTCGACAGATTTCGGAACTGTGTAATTACTAGTTATTTTTCTGTCAACCATGATTATTTTTTCGTGCCGAAAATCGGACTCTTCCTCACGTGACTTTGGATTTTGAACGTTGACAGGCAAATGGCTTCTTTTGTTATCCTTCCATATTTTAATTGTTGTCAAAAACGTTTCGCCTTCTGAAATATCTTTCTTGCTTATATTTATACCAAGCCTTGACATCTGGGGATTTTTCTCTTGAGTTTCTAGACGCTGTTTATAGTTTTCTAGATGATCTTGGTTGTCAGTCTTCACTTGGTCATTTGAAACTGTTGTCTTTTCATTTTCACTTTGCTTTACTGTTGAGCAACAACAAGAACCCATATTCTCACTTTCTATCAGTTTAATATAAATACAAGATGCATACAGCAAAARATTCAATTCATTACACCGTTTCGGGTTATAATTAGAACTGTCTGTGACGTTAACCATGGATGATAATCATCCATGTTTGTGGTTTGTATATACCAGCTTTGTACACATGTCCCGAAACTTTAGAAGATGATGAAAATTTAACTGAACGGGAAAAAAGCGTAAAAACCTTATGACCCAGAATGATCTATGTCGTTAGAAATAAAAGGAAAAATAATATATAGTGAGAGATCAAAAGAATTAAGAAAAAAAGCTAAGCTTATGTATATATACCATAAGTTTATGAACAAACTTATTGATAAGTTTAGCCGAGTCGATCGATGGAGGGATGAAAATCAAACTATCTAAAAAAGGAGAGATAAAAAGGATGCAATATCAGAAAACATGCAATTGTAGAGTTTACATACATGTTTAAAAGTTAAGTTTAGCTTAAATGTTTTAATTTTTTGTCTAATGAATGAACACTCACGTACCTGGCAATATAGAGGCGTATTTCACCTATCATATCTCCTCGATCGATTGATGGTTTTCATCCTTTCTCTAAAATGATTAATAGATGTTTGAATCATGAACTATATTGTTATGAGTCACCTAAAACGATATTTTTGATTCACGAAATTAGGATTTCGATTTTTTTCCTAATCTCATGTGAGATCTTCTCTGATTGGCTCCCTCTGGTTTTGGCGGGATTTTTAGCCACACACTTCATCTCCAAAAAAAAATCTCACGTTTTGTAAAAAGAAAAAATACAATGAAAATCACTACTTATTATTTTGAAATCACTTAATTTTTTCAAGTAAAATATGCATAAAAAAATTTTGTCGTTGTTGTCAAACGCCGTTTGCGTGACGTCCATTTCCAATTCCTTGCATGACAAGAATGCGAGAAATGTGTGAAACCCGTTGGAGACCTGAGAACGAGTTGATGTGTCAACATGGCGGCTGTTCTGGTTCAGGACTGRCSGACAAAACAACTCAAAAACAACGCTTTTCTTTACGAAATGACGCCTTTTTACACCTTAAATGAGAATATTCTTATATTCAGTCCCTAGTCTAGTTATCTGAAGAGTTACATCACCAGAGGATGGCCGGCTGGGGTGGATTTTCAGAGGAAGATCTTCATCGGTTGAAGAAAGATCAGGTCACAGAGCCTCTAGGGAAAGAACAAGCCGAGGAAAAACCTGGAAATATTAGGAAAGCTAATATAAATCCAGGTCCTAAAAGAACAAAACCAAGAGAAAAGATAAAGACTAGAGCTGCGGCTTCTAAAAAGAACTCCAATGAGAAGCCAAGCGCAAATGAAACTCAATGTCTGAAGGAAAATAGTGGTGAAACTATAGAGAAATTTGCAAAGTTGGAAGTCGAAAATTCGACTCCAGAGTTTGAAAGAAATATGGTTGACACTAAAGTGGAAGAAAGCTCAAAAACTCAAAAGGAAGTGGATGTAGGAAATGTTAATGGTAGTGCAGAAAATTTTCCCGATATAATTTTAGAGCCTGAAAGGTAAGCCTATAATTTATGTGATTTTTACAATTTAAAGTAAATGCACATTAGCTATAGAGTATTTTACTAGATCCCAAAGTGCTTTATTTTTTTTGCATTAAGCATCAAATATTCTCTTCAATTTCATTATAATGAAAAAAAATTTCAAGAGAATGAATTTGACATAAAAGCTGAAAATAAGGCATTTTGGGATTTATTATAAAGGTCTATAACATGCTTCATATAGCAGATGTGGTTACCATAGCTACATTCAAAGCACACCCATTTTCATAATCACTAACACCACCCAAGACGTCTGGGGTTTTGGCTTCCATCAATTCAGTCATTAGATTTAACTCGGACGTTCAGAAATTAATGTTGTTGTTTTTAATTACTTTGTTAATAGAATACAGGCTATTGAATTGTCTGCTCTGCAAAAGATGCAGCAAAAACAAAAGGAAATTGAAGACCAGAATAAACTGAAGAAAGCAGCTATCCAAGAAACAATAAAAACAAGGTATTACAAATTGACCGAGGTCCAATAGCCCACCTCTGAGATATGCTTTGATTGTCACGCACGAAGATTTCAGTATGAGGCTACATGCTAAATTAAATTAATTCTTACCGCCTGTCATGAGTGACTGAGCATTTAGCACGTAGCCTCATACAATTGACAATTGGTGCTACTCTGATAGTAGAGGTCAATGATATGCCATCATGTAAACATCCTATTATACAACTATGTTTCATAATCATAAGTAAAATCTGCACTCTATCTCTATTCTACTAAATTGTCTATTTTAAACTCACTTTAGGTTCAAAAAGACACAAGCAGAGGCTCATGTTCTCAAGGTTGTTCAGCAAGAAGTTGCTCATCTAGACAGCCTACTGTCAGCCGATGTTGCAATACTTAGAGACACAATAGAAGAAGCTACCAGGGATTACCACTATGCAATGTAAGTCATAAAATGACAAATATAGTTATCTCAGGATGGTGTATTGGAAGAGCACTCTACTCTAACTTCTTTGTTTTTAGGTTTGATTCCTGGACTTGACACCACATGTCCCCACCCCTCTGTCTCTTACTCTTCATTAGTTTTCTCTCACAAAGCCCACCACTTTAAAATCCTACTTTGATCTGCGAGTTATTCGACATGCTCCAACTTAGTTAAGTTATTTGCTGTATGACACAGACATACAGTATGAGTTTTGACAATTAAAGGTATATAATTAAGAGCTCTACATCAAGTATAAAATTTGAGTCCATGTTGAATTGAATAAATCCTCATACAACCTGTCACGTTATTATTAATACAAAATACTTCCCTTGAAATATCAAAGTACATTTTAGTATTTGATTTTATCTTGTTCACAGGAAAAGATATGAGCATGCTGAAGCTGAATTTGTTGCAGCTAAGTTAGAATTACACAGAAAAAGTGAGAGAAAAGAGCTACTTACGGAACACTTGTATGCTATTATTCAACAAAATGAAGAAAGGAAAGCCAAAAAGTTAGAGGAATTGATGGCAAAACTCAATCTATCTGATTGTGAAATTCAAGTAGGTGAAAAAAGTACTGATCAATCTGGAAATAAAATGACACCTAAAACAAATGAAAGTGAAGTAAAGACATTAAAAGTGGATGAAAAGGAAGATATATGTGGAATTGATGGGAAATTTACTGAAGATGTACAAAATGGATATGAAAAACAAGTTTATACTGAAGTAAAGGTGGAAGAAACTAGAAATGAAGAAACTAGAAATGAAACTACAGAAGTGGATGAAATGGAAAAAATGGGATGAAATAAATTGAATACAATGAAAAGAGATAGTAATTTGCCAGAAAAATGTGGATTTTATCAAGCAGTTTTTATGCTTAAAGATGCATTTCCAGGTTTATGGAAATTTTATATTATTTACTAATGTCAAGGTTTTAAAAAATCATATTGATTTTGATATAAATAATCAGGGAAAATATGATTTGAAAATATATTTCTGGGTGAAAGAAGGTATACAGTTAAGAGAGGATGTCAGCAAAAATCGAACATATTGCTCATATTTTAGTATTAGGAAGACCTTGATGCAATATGAACTGTGGTATACTTCATATCGCTTTATTTCCGAGAAAAACGAGGAAAACCAATTTGTGCATAATTGACCCTCTGAGAGAGCCAAAATATCATCCAACTTCAAGTGCCTCGCATGCCTTTGCAAAATAAAATAAATATTTTTTGAAAGTTCTTTGTATTTATGATGTGCCAAAGTAACTTGGTAATAAAATTTTTTTCGCCAACAGAAATTTATTGGAAAATAATAAAATTTCACAGATTTAAAGCCAAGACAATGTTAAAAAAAAATTTTTAACAACCAAGTCCATACACATTTTTGCAAAGGCACGCGAGGCACTCGAAGTTGGATGATATTTTGGCTCTCTCAGAGAGTCAATTATGCACAAATTGGTTTTCCTCGTTTTTCTCGGAAATAAAGCCACATTTCAAAAAAACGAAGTATACCAAGATTTGTTTCGGCTATATGTCTACCTTATACTTAAATATAAGCGAAATCGATTTTTGGACTGTTGCCAGCAAATTTCGATTTTGTTTGATTTTTGCTGACATCTTCTCTTAATATTGTTTGGCAGATAAACAATCAGTGAATTTTGCAAATAGATTTGCACCAGCAAAAATATCATTCAAAACTCAACATTCATTTTTGTGCCTGCTAATAATTTTGTATTTTAATAATGTATTGTCATTCCTATTTTACAACAAATATATTTTCATTTGTAATGTATTTTATAAAAAATAGATTAAAATATTTTGAAGGGATTTTCACATTATTAGTGGACATATAAATTTTGCAGTTAAAATCATTTGAATCTCATTAAAATTTACTATAAGCTCAAAATTACCAGGATTTCAAAGACCCTTCGCATTCACCCACAATTTTTAAGAACATAGATTCATTGGGAAAACTCAATGACACTACATTTAACACAGGTATTCGGATCCAAGCAAGGGGCAGGGGGGATGCCGCATATACTCAGTTTGATCACAGATTGCATGTAATTTCCATAATCTCCACTTCCTAATAAAAAAACAAAAAAACAAAACAAAATAAATTAAACAGTTTGAAAAAAATGAAGAATCAGAAATTATAGAAATTCTGCAAAATTTCATTGCTCGTTAACCTTTGTGTGGTTCAATTGTGGAGAGCTGGTTTACTTTTGTGGATCTAATAGGATTTTGCACCCTTGTGCATTGAAAAGAAGCTGAAAAGCCTGCAAAAAATGCAACCAGTTATTAGATAACAGAAAACCTTTGTTCTTTACTAGAATTTACAGGGAGCACATTTTTAAGTTGTGGGGGGAGGGGGTGGGGGGGTGTGCAGTCTTTTTGCATATTTGAACTCAAACTAAGGCCCAGTCCACACTATGTCAGATAAATTTGAATCCGCAACTTTCACACCAAACCCCCCAAAAAAGTTTTCTGTCCACACATGAAAAGGGATAAAATGTTTCGCGTCCACACTAGTTCGATCAGAGGCGGCAAAAACGCTTCATTGCACATCTGAGCATGTGCATCGAAGCTGAAATTGAGCCCGCAGTGAATTTTTAGCCTTCCTGCCATGTTCCCATGACAATCATGACAATAATGACAATTGTTCCGGATTCGCCCGGACTAGTGTGGACACTAGGCCTAACCGAATAAATAAAAATTTGGATTCAAATTTATCCGGCATAGTGTGGATGGGGCCTAAGACAAAATAGTTTCATTCTCATGACTGTTTCATTCTCATCCTAGCCCTTGACTCAGCCATCCCTGATTTTCAATTGGTATATTTTTAACTTTTTATTTTATAAGACAAAATAAAAAAGGAAAAAATAAAAAAAGTTCCAATTTGAATCCAATCCCTACTCCATAATTAATAATGATTATTCCAAAATATTTGAACATATTTTGTATGCAAATTCGAAACAGCCCTACATTACCAAAGATGAATTGAAGTTGGAAGGATGGGAGGGAAGTGGAAGGGAAGTGGATGAGAAGGGTGCAAGAATAATAGTAGTACTACTCTGTTGGTATAAATTCTTCCTGATGGGATTGGAAATATTACTCTTTCTAGCTCTGCCAGAGGGGTTTGCAGATATATATACTTACCTCTTCAAATCTACTCATTGGTATTTCATGAGTTATCAGGGGGAGGACATCAACTCTGAAAATTTAACAAGCTAAGATAAATAAACAAGCTCAGACAAGAGCAAGCTAAGATTTTAATTTCCAGTGATTTGAAAATCTTATGGAACCCTGAAACAACCTCTGAGCTGAAAGTTAGCTAGTGTACTGGTAACTCACAAATTGGATTGAAATTTTAAATGTTTTACAAAGGGAGAAATATCAAAGAACCTTGAGAAAAACCCTCAAATCAAGGTAGAGACCTAATATACTTAACTCACGTGATGGGAATCAAACCTGAGACCCCAGAGGTGAGAGATGAGTGTACTATTGCTGCTACAATTTCACAAGCTTGTTCTAGATTGATCTCTCCATAGTTAATACCTTGATTAAACTACCTTATCTATTAGTTTAGAGATTTATTCCAACTTACTTGTTCTCGTAAATAAGCTGCTCGGATTTCTCCCAAGTACTGAAGATTTTGCGACCATGTACAGTTTTCATGGTGATAGATTTGAAGACAATATCCCTCAAGACATTCTCTATATGAAGAGGTTGCTAACAAGAAAAGGAGCACCTTTAGATGTAGTCTGAGCTTGGACAGACAGACTAACTTTGAGACCTTGCCAAACTTTTTTTTTTAATGTTTCTAAGATTGCATTTCTGTCATACTCTTTAATATATTATGTTCAAATTAGTAGGGACTAGGAAGCAAGGGGTTTTGCAGATAAATATTTTTTTAGATATAAACACATTTTTTGTGCAAAGGCAGAGGATGGAGGGGGGGGGGGKGGGGGGTAAAACATTCATTATCACTCTAGGGTCCTGCTTCTTCCAGTGGTAGCAAAGCAGCTAGTGGACTTCATCAACCTGTACATTTTTCAATAAATTTTCTCTAAATTACTAGCTCATACGCCATGCAAAAAGTTTGAACTGACAACCATACCTTTGGTAGACCCACTAGAACTATCCTCCCTCCTTTCCTATAAATATTAAAAATATATACATATTAGAAAATCTAGAATTTCATTCTTAGTTTATTTTGTTCCTTTAAAAGTTAATGAATTAATAATCATGAATAATAATCATCAATAGTATTACCTAAGAAATGAAAAACTGCTGTTCAGCAGTGGTGCAGCACCTGAACATTCAATCACTCTTCCGACACCATCCTCTGATGTCTCTCGAAACACTGACAAAAGGTAAGAGGGTCAAATGTTTTATTTGTTCTATTCTTTAGGTGTATCAGATGTGTTTGTGCTAGGATTTTTTTATATCTGGCTCCCGGAACCCACGTAACGGCTCAAATTTGGGTCCCAAGCACTGTGGGTGCCAATCAATATTCAGTAAGTACTCGTTAACACAAGTGAAGTGATGAATTCCTGGGACACATTTGGGTCCCAAGCATTGTGTGTTTGGGTGCTAATCAATATTTAAGGAAGTCCTTAGTTACCTATTTCCTTGAGGCCTTCTCTCTTGCAGTTTACAACAACATCTGCTCCCATTTGTTTTGCTTTATCTAGTCTATACTCTATAATGTCTGTAGCGATTCTATCAGAGAACACCAAATGTAATGATTATCAACAACAAATAGAAATAAAAGATATTATAGTTGAAGTCAGGATTCATTACATTACTTGAAATTTTTATTTTACTTTCCATCCACTAGGACCTGGGGTGTAGCTATGTATTGGTCATTGGAGGTCAAATAATGGAGCTATAAAGGGATTTTAACATGCCCCCATTTTAGCACAGGCTTACCAAACAAAGATCTGTGAGTTTGGGTGCCCTGTGGTTTTATGTTCCTTGCAGCTGTTTGAATTCAACTGTTTAAATAAAACAACAGGGTTCCCACTTGCACCAATAGATACACAGCTTTGTGAGTTCATGATTTACATTTTATAAATAGTACGTCATTAAATTGAGCTGATCCTTGTAGTATATGAAGCAACTTATGCAGCTGCCAATTGAAAGACTCAGAAAAAATTCTTGAATAGTATGTCAAATGACAATGCTTTATAAAGGGATGCATGTATATACCTACATTTTTGCAGCTCCCATTGCTTTGGCAATTCCTATGGCAAGTAATCCAATAGGTCCACACCCTAAAAAAAATCACAAGCATCAGCACCAAAAAATATAATGAAATACACGGTATGATGGCATAAGCACCTGATCTAAGCAGCAATATCGCAGAGTGTATCAATAAAGTAATTACCTAGGACAAGGACCGATTCACCAGAAGGCTTCAGAGCTTCCATGGCATGGTGTGCGACACCAAATGCTGGGGGGAAAAATCTTAATAAATCTTAATATATGTAATGTCAGTCTCTCATCTTTATATCTATACATAAATATACTTACGTTCCAACAAGCAAGCCTTTTTTGACTCAATATCAGTCTTTAAAATGTAAGCATATCTGGCTGGGATGATTGTGTATTGGGAACAACCTAGGCAACATTAAATAAATGAGAACTGTTGAATGTATTTTATTTTTCTATTTTGTAAACAAATAAAATATTATCATCATCAGGATTGCTCGCCTACTTACCTCCATATATTGTGCCTCTTCCATGCCCATACTGGTTTAGGTTTTGGCAAATGTGTCTTTGATCTTTAATAATCAAAAGCAAATTGGAAGATGAATGAGTGGTTGAAGGAAAAGAATAAAAGAAAAGATTGATGAGTGAGTAGATAGAGGGTGAATAGATAGGATAGGATAGGATGGGATGGGATGGATGGTTGAATGGATGGATGGAGGGGGATGGGATGGGATAGGATAGGATAGGATAGGATAGGATAGGATAGGACCGACTGACGGATGGATGGATGAATAAAATGAATGGAAACAGACCAGATGAATGAATGGGATTAATAAACCATGGATTTTTATGAAAATTATGATAGTTTAAACCAGAAGCAACATACCATGTAAGCACTGATAGCATTTGCCACAGTAAAAGTGATTCTCACAGCACACACGTTGTCCAACTGTGTATTCATCGCCACATCCTGAACCAACCTTCATAACCTTTAAAGCAATATGTAGTCCATGCCAAAGAGAGTAAAATTAGAAAAATGTTTGAAAGTCTATTATTTTACAGGTACATGAAACAACAAATATCAATGCTGCCACTCTCATTCTTTCCCCTCTCTCCTCCCTGAAATAATCTAGAAATTCCCCTCCCCAACCCACCCCCCCCCCCTGCCTTACTTGCAACCAAATCACATGATACTCATACTTTAAAAAAATTAAACAACTCAAAACTCATACCTCACCAACGCATTCATGACCAGGGATAAAAGGTAGAGTAGCTATTGCCTTTGCGACTGAGAGAAAAAATATTTCACAATTTGTTTTCACTCCTAGACAACGACAATCGAACAAGAAGCTCCAAAATTTTCCACTTTCAAAAAGTCCAACTTACTTTCGTTCCATTTGTATAAAGCTATGTCAGAGCCACAGATTGAAGCGAGCAGTACTTTAACCAGAAGTTCTCCCTTGCCTGGCTCAGGTATTGGCATTTCTTTGTATTCATAGCCTTCTCTTTCTGTCTCTTTGATTAACACCTTCGTCTTGTCGTCCATCTTGAACCACAGGCTACCCAACAGCAAGGTCAAGAAACTGGTCAAGGGAAATAGATCAGGAGCTAGGGGAGGGGTGGCTGGGGATAAATGACTATTTAGATACTGAGAAAAATTACTTGTGAATCAATTTGAATTTTGTTATTCTACTCAAAAGGTTAAATAAAGGTAATAAAAAATATAAGGTCAAATTTTGATTTTCGATTCCATTCCATTTTGATCTCTTACGATTACTTGCCGATCGTGCGGGTTCCCTGTGTCCTGAGCTAAAATCCAAGATGGCGGACGTAGGTGAGGTTGAAGTTGGTTTGGATTCCAAGATTGAAGAGGTTAAAAACTGGCTTAAATCTGAAGGCTACGACAAATATAAGGAAGCAAGAAGACTAACAGAAGAAGAGGCTAAAAATGATCCAGAATCCGAGCCTTACAAGTCAAAATATGCTGCACGTGATATTTGGATAGAATTGAAAGAAAAGTTAGAGACGTTTCAAAGTGAGGATGAAGAATGCAGTGAATTTACAAAACTACTACTCGCTTCTTTGAACTATCAGCTGGGGCTAAACTATTTAGAGACGCAAGAACCAGGTCTAGGGGAAAAGTGCTTGCAGCAGTGTTTGGCAAGTCTTAGAAAAGACGATAATCTTGAAGTTAAAAGTGCTTCTTTGATTTTGCATTCTTTGAATCAACTGGGGATTTTGTGGAGCCAGCGAGGGGAAGAAGAGAAGTCGTTGGAGTTCTTTCAAGACGGAGAGAAATTTTATCACAGGTTTAAGAAGGATGTTGGAGGTTCACCATATTCGATTCATGAGTAAGTACGGTTACCGTGTTTGATTAAGTGTGGAAATATTATGACAGATGGTCAACATTTAGAACATCTATAGATACACCCTTTTTAGCTTGAGCGTAATGTTTTCACATTTTAGACCAAGTGTTCTCTTGAGAGATTCTTTGTATGAGTCTTTCCATATTCAGGTGTCTTCTTGTGTGCAACCGTAAAACAAAGAAGCAATACTCTAGGGAATGACGCCTTATAATGGGAAAAAAACATCTGACCCAATTAATGTCATCACACAGGAAGGGACATATATCAGGAATGTAGTGGTAGTAGACTACCCTCTCACCTCTGGGTTCAATTCAAGTCTCTCCCTTAATTTAAGGGTTTTTCTCTAGGTTTTTCCAGTTTTCCTCCCTCCACAAAAAAGTCCCAACAAATCTGTGGGTTATGTGTGCCCTGACTTACAAATTGGCGCAGAAGTTGTTTTAGGGTTCAGTCTGTGACTTAGCTGTGCCCTGACTTAGTTCAGCACAGAAGTTGCTTCAGGATTTGACCTACGAGTTATCCATGCCCGACTTAGTGCAGCCCAGAGGTTGTTTCAGGGTTCAATCACTATTGATGGTTTTGTATTTTTTATACTTTACAGGCTATTCAACGCAGATGAAAACAGCCTATCTGATCTGGACAGAGTAAAAGAATTTGAAGCAGCCTTCACGCATACCTTGTATTATCTAGCGCAAGTCCATGGTGCCCTAGGTGACTCCAAGAAAAGTGGTACCTACTGTCACACGACCCTGCAAAGACAACTGGAGACTAAACAGTATGATCCTTTGGATTGGTCACTTAACTGCGCCACGCTGTCCCAGTACTATATAACATGTGACAATTATGTGATGGCAAGACATTGCCTGGGTCAGTCTATAATAAATTAACTACTCTGAGGTTGAGGAAAAAACTGGGGGAGTTGGCATGTTTGTAGTTCATTGTGGGACTGTTTTAGGGTACATTTCCAACATGGCATCCTTTTTGCCCCCTAAATCAGTTCCACAAAGCACAGCAATGCCAACTTGAGCCACTTTTTCCCTAAACCTAGGAATGGCTAATAGTAAGAAAATAGGAAGCCAATGTTTTAATCAAGGCTGGTAGAGCTAGTGGTCAATAGCAGATTTAGGGGAAATATGTCATAGGGTGCCATGTACCCGCGCCCCCTCTAGCTTGGAATTAGTTGGTTGGTTTAAGCATTAAATATTGTTAATAGACCTATCCCAAATTTGCTTTACTGGTCACCAAACAATGGTTTCAAGTCGAGGTCGAACTTGATGAATAAAAGAATCAAGTTCAGTCTCGACTTCAAACCATTGTTTTGTGGTCAGTCAAGCAAATTTGGGATAGGTCTATTGCTAAATAGGTGCATCTTCTAATTTTTTTTGATCCCCCTACTCAAAATCCTAGATTCGTAATGGTAAATTTTTCATCCTTTAGCATGTTCTAGTGTAGTGCTTGCAGAAGCAGAAGAAAAGTACACCCATGAATCAGTAAGAGAAGACGATGGAGAACTAGAGAGACAGAGAAAGGAAAGGTTCCCCAGAACAAGGGCTGATATTTCACGATGCTGGGCCAAATATTGCTTGAACTTGATCAAAGAAGGAAAAGAAATGAAAGAAAAAGAGATGGATGATAGGAGAATGGAAAGGGAAAATGAAAATGACACAGAAGAGAATAATGAAGGTAAAGTAATGCATGATATTGTTTACACTTAATTGCAGGAATGTTGTCATAGAAAAAAAAATCACACAGAAGAATATGATGAAGGTGAAGCAATGAGTGATATTGTTTATGTCTCCTGTGAAGTGCAATGCCTAATAAGCTGCAAGGACAGATTGAAAGAAGTGAATTGGGTGACTGGCCAACCATTATAGAGTGGAAAAATAAGAAGAACAAAGAATAATGTTATATCTAAATTAGATGACGTTTGCTGCTTTTGTTGGTAACAGCCACCACCTTGGAATAGTCCTGGGTCCTCCTGTTACATTTCTGTGTTCCAGGGGTAGACACAGGCTTTTCTATTTTTTGTAGAATTGAGAAAAAGAAAGATTGGAAAATAAGAAGAAAGAAAAGAAGGGTGGGAGAAAATGGCCAAAAAAGTTATCTGGACACAATGTTTTCCCATTTCAGACCACATGCCATTCTCTAGAGTATAATTTACTTGTTAACGGTTGCACATGAGAAGACACATGAATATGGATACCATTGGAGCAAAGAATTCTATTCTCTAAGGAATGACATGACGTGGTCTGAAATGGGAAAAAATTATGCCCAAGCTGAAAAGTTTAATTTGTCTTAAAAGGTGAAGCATCAACTACAGATAGGGTCCAAGAAAGAGAAGAAGAAGTAGAAGAAGAAGAAGATGATGAAGAGAACAAGAATCCTTTGAGGTTCACGTCTCTAGAAGTTACTTGCTATGAACAGTCTGTTCCTCATCATGCTATCAAGAATTTCAATGAAGTATGCATCACACCCTAACAGCCTCTTCAGGATGGGTTTATAAGACGAATAAACTAGAGGGATAGCTGGATTTTGTGCGTTAACAATATTCTACATATTTAGGGAATCAAGATTATAGCGTGGCGGTAGCGCACCTCTTGGAATGAAATGAGAGGAGAGGAGAGGAGAGGATATTAAGGGAATCAAGGGTATAATGTGGCAGTAGTGCACCTCTTGGAATGGAAGGAGAGAGGAGAGGAGAGGAGAGGTTTTGTTTTTTTTTTTTTTTTTTTTTAGGTTTGAAATAGCTTTATTGGCATGACCTACAATTTACAGGTATTGCTAAAGCATTGAACATTAACAGGGATTTTTGTTGTTGTTATATTTTACAAACACATTGTAATAAGAAAAATATCTATATATCTATATCTATATATATCTATATGTAAAGTAACATATTTGAAAAAAATAGGTATGAGGAGAGGAGAGGAGAGGAAAAATAACCCAATAACAGTTGTAATGGTATCGTCCTTATTTCTCTTTCCAACAGGCTCGTACCATTTTCCGCGAAGGTCAGAAATGGTTAAATCAGTCCAAAGACTACTACCTCTTAGACGGCCATGTGAGCGATTTTGTACAGATCCAACAAGACCTCAGCCAATTCTACAAGCTGCTCGCCTTTTTCGAACAGGAAAAAGACCGCAAATGCAAAATGCACAAGCGAAGAGTAGACCTCCTCTCAGAAGTCCTCTGTGAGCTCAACCCTCAGCATTACCTCCAGATATGTCGGCAACTCATGTTCGAAATCGCAGAGGCATACAGTGAAATGGTCGACTTGAAGATCGCGATTTTAGCCGAGACAGAACAACAGCCGCCAACAGTCCACGCAGTCAAGAAGATAAACCATCTTATAAACCAAGCCATCAAATTCTTTCAAACATTCATCGACTCAATGAAACAGAAGGGTGCACTACCGGAAACGTACGACGACGACATCGTTCGACCAGCTTTAGTCTCGCATTTCTGTATCGCTCGGCTGTTCTCAAAGTTCGTGGGTCTGGAGACACGCGCTAAGCTGGAGAACTTGAAAAAGAGTGTAGATCTGTATAACTATATCGTGAGCTATTGTGACAACCATCCAGACATGCCTAAAGAATCTTTTGAAGATGAACTCCAAATATCGAGAGATATGGCGGCCCTACTACCTATTAAAATGTCGAAGATCATGGCTAGTAGTTCGTAAGCGTGGTGTAGCAAAATTGTCCAAAATAATGGCTAGTACAGCTAGTCGTTCGTAAGCCTGGGGTAGACAAGTGTGAACTCGTACTAGATCTTATGATAGTATTTATTAATGTTAAACTGGCCGTGTTCTTCACTACACTTAGGATGAAGCATTGCATGGTTTTTGTTGTACTATAAGAATGACATCAAAAAATGTGTCGTATAAATCTGCCGTTTCATGTCGCTGTATCTTTGTGCTTTCTCGCTTCCCTTGGGAAGTTTTGTCCGAATGCGTGATGAGAACTCATCTTTTACCAATAACTATGCAACGAAAGGTTTTATAACCATCTAAATTACGTCCAATAATATTCTGAAAAAAAGACCTTTAATAGACTATTTTCCTTGTGGCGTTAAGCTCTTTTCCCATGTAAAATTTATGCCGGGTCATTTTCCTTGAATATTATTCTTTACTAGCCTTGAATATTATTCTTTACTAGCCGGGTTCGAAAAATAAATAAGAGGTCACACTAAACTGCAAAAAAAAAAAAAAAACCAGTTTAAAAGCGGTCAGTTGCATCATGTTAATTAAGAAAATACTTATTACTAATATACTGCTCAATGATAATATAGATATATAGAAAATTGATGAAGTACCGCCTTAATTAATGATCAGCGCGTGAAGGGGGAGTGGAGAAAATAACGAGTTGCTATACAATACTTTTGAAACATCAAATACATACACAAAAAAGAGTCATTTACTGAAGTATTTGGTTTTTATTTTTCATGTAAAACCTCTCATTACACTTTGTTCGTTATCTTAAAGGTCCGAAATGTGTTTCTTAGTTTCTTTACAATAGCCCCCCAAAAAAATTAGTGGAAATTTTTTGCGGGAGTTGGTCTAGGAGACATTCATAATGAAAGCGCCCAAGAGACCATTTTAGCTCCGTTCAACCGAGCAGTCTTTTTGAACCAACACAATGCAATATAAGTTACGAGTTATTTATAAAATCAAGTCAGCGTAGTTGAAGCTAGTTAGATTTTGAAGTATATCTTCACTCCATTATTTTACATAGTACGCATACAGGTAGTTCAAGCTCCAACCGATTGCTACTTATCCTAGACATTTCCCCCTCGATCTGTCCACCACAACGATGACAAACTTCGCCGCTCGAGAAACGACTGCAGTAGAAAGCCACTTCCATGTTGTCTGTACAACGAAGGGTAGACTTGGTGTAGACTTTATCGTCCAGAGGATGACCGGGGAGAAACAGAGCCGTTCCACACGAGAACACTGTCGACTTGATAACCTCAGTCAAGGACATTTTTGGCTGAGATGGTAGAGGTTTGGTGGTGTAGATACATCGAGGTTTTTGACACCGAAAGCACTGGACGACAGCACAAACTCTTTTCCCCGTGTAAGCAGGGACAAGGACTTTAGATTTGAAGGCAGCGATGTCGTTCAATTCGAACTGCTCGTCTGTTGACGGGCTTGTACTTCCTGAATTTGCAATGCAAGAAATTCTGAACATACCGATGTGTTGGTCGTGGCTGTCAAAGGTGAAGTGTAGAAAGAAAAGCGATATCCCGAATGCAGGTTGATAAAGGCTAGGCATCCTTATACGGTATCTCGCCGCAAGGAGTGTCTGGGAGTGGTGTTTTAAAAAAACACCTCAAAACAGCTTAGAATTGAAAAAAAAAGTTTGTTCGTAAAAACAATTGTTTTTCTTCTTTCTTAAAAATTGCCATAGATACAGTGTTCGCACGTAATTGTCCGTTTGAGCCGCCATTTCGGTTGCTAAGGTTACCACAGAAAATTGTCCTTTTATAGTCTACGTTAACTTGCACGTTTTTCAAAAGTTGAGATAATATGAAAAATTCACCATGACTCAGTTTTGTTTTGGACCCGAAAGCTATTCAGTTAATATCATCATGCTTATGTGAGTTCTATCGATTCTCCCGAACCATCCCAAAAACAACCTCTCGGCTGATATAGGTCAGGGCTCGGCTAACTCGCAGATTGAACCCTGAAACAACCCCTGGGCTGATCTAAGTTAGGGCATGGCTAACTCACGGATAGAACCCTGAAACAACCTCTGGGCTGATCTAAGTCAGGGCATGGCTAACACAGATAGAATCCTGAAACAACGTCTGGGTTGATCTAAGTCAGGGCACGGCTAACACAGATAGAATCCTGAAACAACCTCTGGGCTGATCTAAGTCGGGGCACGGCTAACACAGATAGAATCCTGAAACAACCTCTGNCAGATAGAATCCTGAAACAACCTCTGGGCTGATCTAAGTCGGGGCACGGCTAACACAGATAGAATCCTGAAACAACCTCTGGGCTGATCTAAGTCAAGGCACATAAAATTGAATTGGAATGTCTATTTTGGACGTTCGCTACAGCCAGTTTTGGCAATAACGCGACTAACCTTACCTTGAGTATTGAACTTTTCTTTACTGCCCCCTACTCTGATGATGTGTCGCCATGACGACCTGCGAGGCAATCGTGACCGCTGACAATTCTGAACACTTATATCGATACGATGAACTCACACGATGGAGGTTGTTTTACCATTCGATTTTTATTGAAATCATTATCATGCAGAGAATCGCTCTAATGACATATCCAGTGCTTTTCCGCATGACCAAAATGTCAAATTCCCATTTACTCACTCACTTATAGCTTATTAGTCGTATTAGCCACTCCCAATTTGAGGGGAAAACTCGATCAAGTTGGCATTGCAATACATTTCGTGGCTGTCACTCTTAGTGGAAGAATTTATGGAATTTTCCCAAATATTTTTTGCATTTTAACGTTTTTCCCCGGCATATTTTCTTCTGTTCCGACATCATACACTGGAAAAATCTATCGATTTGAGATGTTGGAAATATGTTGGAAGTTTCGACTTGCAACGGCATATTTCCATACCATGAATTTGTCCAAAAGGTTGGAAGTTAGGCTTCCAACTTATTTCCAACATATTTCCAACATCTCAAATAGATAGATTTTTCCAGTGTTATACATATGATCCGCAATACATTTCAAGCTTGGTATGCAACACATACAACGAACCCTTCAACTAACATTTTTTTGAAATAGATATGCGGGTCTCTCACTATAAAACCAAAAAAACTCCAACTAAAGTGTTTGTATTTGTCCAGGGTTTATTTAATACTCATACATTTATACAAAATATCGTTGTCGAATAGTGTATGCATTTGTTTCAGTAGTGCCGAGCTAAAGGTTCAGTTCCCGTTTATAAACGGTCGTTGCGGAATTGGGACGTCATTGAACACAGTAAACGATTATCTTGAATGAAAGCAACGACTTCCCTAAGTAGCAGAGCTCTTCTTCGTTGGCGATTCTTGGCAGAGAATTATTTTCTCTGCCCAAGAATCGCCAACGAAGGAGACTCTGCCAGCAGGGAAGCAACGACAATCTATACAAAAGGGAATCTTTGTATCAGTAACAGCATTGAAATGTCACAAATCTTTTCACAGATCCGTAATGTATGCGGTGATCTGTGAAAAATTCTCGTCATAATCTTTATAAATATTCACTAGAGTCCACATCAGCTTGAGGATCGTTACGGTAGTTTATTTGGGATTTTTCCTTCTCTCCTCACACAAAACACAATATGGTAATCCTAATCCCAAGCGATTACTTCTAACAGTAACGTTCTCTTTCGATATCTGCCCACCACAACAATGACAAATGTTTTGGCTTGCAAAGTGGCTACAATAGAAAGCTCTCTCGATATTATCACTGCACTTCAGGCCTCTATTAGTGTAAATCTTGTGATCAAGAGAATGCCCCGGTTCAAACAGGGAGCTTCCACACGAAAAGGTCCTTTTGTCTATGCTTTCAAAGAGCTGTGTCTGTAACTTGGACGAAAGTGGTTTGTTCGAGTAAACGCACCGAGTCTTTTTGCATCGAAAGCATTCAACCACCGCACATACTTTGTTCCCTGTGTAGGCAGGAACTACGAGTCTTCTGGCTGTAGAAACGCTCTTGATTTCAAATTCTTCTGGCCATGGATTGGAGGTTTTGCTTGAAGAAAGACAAGACAGCCTAGAATCGGCGAAGAATTTTTCCAAGACAATCTTTCTCATGTCTTCGGGGTAAAGTTTACTAAGCGAAATACGGAAGTTGAATTCGGCGATGTCAAACAATAAATGATCTGCCGTTTCTTGGCCATTTATATGCAAAAATCTTGGTAGTTTACAACTTCACGGATTTTGATGGGTTTGGCAATGGTAACGGCAAGACGAAGCAATCAGTTATCTTTAGAACCCCTCTTTACCTTCTAAGACTAAAATCAAGGACGACAAGTGATCAGCTTTGAAGTTAAGAACCGACATTTGTTCCAGAAAAAAACATTTAATTTACAGGTAAAAAAATCCTTAATCGGTCAATATATTTTATCTTATGAAAATAAAATTTAAGACCAATTATTGAACTAATTAATAGGTGGAATCTTTTAAATGGCTTCCGCGCGCCCCAAACCAATCAAAAAGCGACTCAAAAATACAAACAACTGGGAAGCCAATCAAAACGTTCGTAAGACTGTTAAACCAATCAAGAACGAAGTCTTTTGACGTCATGACTTTTAAGGTAGATGCCTGATGTTGGAAGATTGCGTGCAGAAAGTGAAGAAAACACCATTATGTATACCAGATTTCATTAAATTTGAGAGGACTTTCTAATTATGTCATTATAGACATCTCAGAAGAAAGATTCATAATGATGGCTTAATTATTATGCGCGTGGATAATGACTGAATAGCGGGAGACAACGATTAATCTCGAATTTTCAAGATTTAGATGACGAGCACATGTTGTTGAACATAAAGTTGCATTCACAATTAAAGGTAAAAAGGAACTTTCCAGAATTTGCTTGAGTGACAACGAAACAAAGGCTCCATTCCGGCGTTGTTCGACTTGATAAAATACAGTAAATGTATAAACACATCAAATGTCCAACCTCGACTTGGAAACATTGTCTCGTAGTCACTCGTAACGACGATCAATATACACCTATTTCAAAAATTGTCGTTATCGCCAAAGGCGATAGGCGATAGGTCATTTCGACATGGAAATCGTTTAGATGACAACGTGATGATCATGATGAATCTGCGCTGTATGCTGCTGATTATGATATCGAGGGCTTGGGCTGTTTCAGGGTTCAACAAACAGGAGGTTGACATATAGTTCATTTTACATGCATCCAATGCTCGTATACAATCTTCATTGTCAGTTAAAGACATCGCCGGTTGTCATTAAAGGCGTAATTGCCAGCTTCTCACCTCATCAGATTAATCTCGATAAAACTAAAAAAAGCGACTCGTGAAAGTAGCGAGAGACAGTTGTGTTTATTTAGCTTTTAAAACAATTTATCATATTTTTATATTATTATATCAGTACGTCACACAGCAATATTTGGGCGTTTTTTACGTTCAAATTTGGGGCCCCGTCTACACTTTGGACAACGCGTACTTTTGCCTCTCTATTTTATCCTCACTGCCGGTCACACCAAAATGGAAATTTGCCCAGTCGTTCAAAGGCGACTTCAAAACGCAGGCCTTGTATAATATTGTCACTGATGCAAATGGAAATTGGGCGGGGACCTTAGAACATTGTGATGTCACAACAATGGCAAGAAAACTACGCATGCCCAGTGTTCAGTAGTCGGCGTGTTTTTTTTGAATCGTTGATGTGTGCACGGGCTGACAATTCTCCATTCACTTATACCAATACCAAATTATCATGGATGCGAGAACATGAAAACACAGAAGGAATCACACATTTTCTCGATGGAATTTGTGGTATTTCTTTCGTATTTCTATGTTAGCCTAGTAGCGTTCAAGATAATTTTGAGAAGAATCTATTATGCCAGAATCCTCTACATATTCTTTTTCTTATTCAATGGCAACACCCATAAGAGTACCGAGATAATAGTGTTAATTTGGCTTACAAAATGAACTGCGAAAAGGAATCTGGTAGTATTGATATCGAGATATAAGAAAGAGAAAGGATTGAAAATTATTTTTTTCAACGAATTCCAAGTTCCTTGTTATTTTACGCTATTTCTACTGTGAGGATACAAAACAAACATTTTATACAGTGATGCTATCATGTTCTTAACTAAATGGCTTCCGCTCTAAGTCAATCATAAGGGCACGCGGTATCCAATCAGAATGCTCGAATACTGTTACTGCTCTCAAATGGCTTTCTATTCCTCTTATTATTACTAGTCAAACATATTGCTTCTTTGTTTCTTGTTCTAGCTTGATAGCAAATTGATTATATATCAAAAATCTAGGACAGTATTTATGAACAATTATTCAATCTGGGAATGAATCGTTCTCTAATTACAACAATCTCGTTCCCAGACCTCGCGTTCTTAACGCTGACAATGCTACTGCTGACCAGTAGTAACGCAGACGTGACGTGGATAGCCCAGTACACTTACCATGCATACTGGGCGCGAGTTGCTTGTATTTCAGTTGTTCTATCATCCTTTACATGGAAGTTTAAAGTCAAGAATGAAAGGGCGCGCATGGTTTATAGAAGAATACACGCGTTATGTAGTCATTTTACAATAGAAAACATGCCCTAATTAAGTTCTACTGAACATCTAACAGACTTTGGTATGACGAAACATTTTCGGATTTCATGTGGTTATAAAAACCATTTCGACTTACGGAAAACAGATTATCATTGGATAAGACCTCATATGTTATCGACTTGAATTTGCTTTATCTACTAGATATAAAACCTTCTTTGGGGTTCCTGTGGTAATCCTCGAGCCACAGGAAGCCCAATTAAAGCTTCAATTTTGAAAAATTGAAAAATTGCAGCAAACGGCAATGTCATGGCAAAGAAAAGAAAACATCAGCCGGACAAAGGATATCTTCTCATCTAACGGCACCATCATACCTTATGCAATTGATTGTTTGTTTGTTAATTGGTTGGTTGGTTGGTCGGCCGTTCGGTCGGTCCTTCGGTCGGTAATATAGTCATACAAAATCTGTTGTATATTCTAATATAAAAGAGCATCATTCTTGCATCGAATCCTTAAAGAAAATTTTATCAGCGTGATTTTTATAGTGCTTTTTACCCTTACGAAGCCTGGATCTTTCCTAACAAAACGCGCAAATCTGATAATCGATTTAAGTAGTTAGAATAGTGCATTATGGGATATCATTGTGAATTACATTACATTACGCCTTAGTGTTGACATCAAATGGTTCTTCCCTTTTCCCTCGAGGTTTTATTCGTCACTCTTTGGTTTCCCAGCAGCATCATCGCTGGCTCCGTCAACTCGTTCTACAGATCCTCTGTTTTGCTTTTGGAGAATCTTCTTGAGCGAGTCACTCATGTAATATGGCTTTTCGACACTGCCATTGTTACGCTCAATATCCTCCACTGCGAGAAAAAGGTAACTTCAATACAGAAGCAATTCAAGGGAGGAGGAGGGGGGACGGTAGAGATCAAGAACAAAGGAATTGGAAAATGACGTCATAGATGACGTAAAACTATCCACTAGATATACGGCAAGAAATTGCATTAACTACAAGTATGGAAAGGATAGTAGTCAAGATTTTAGTCCATGGGAAATGACGTCATATATGATGAAATCAACATACTAAAGTTTAACGTCATATTTGGTCAATGAAAATGACGTCATTTAACGTCACACAATCCATCGAATTAAAGTCATTAAGAGATAATTCAATCAAAAATGACGTCATCTTTAAAGTCATATTAAGTCACAAGGTAATTACGTCATATGCAGTCACTAGGAAATGACGTTATATTCAGTCACTAGGAAATGACGTCATATCCAGTCACTAGGAAATGACGTCATATCCAGTCACTAGGAAATGACGTTATATCCAGTCACTAGGAAATTACGTCTTATTTAGTCACTAGGAAATGACCTCTTATTTCTTCACTACGAACTGACGAATAAAACTGAACAAAATAAACATACTGCTGTTCATTGAGGTATATTGAAAACCACACACACAAACTGTGATGAACAGAGGTGTAGGATTCATGAAGAGGGCTGTAATATAATATACTTACGGAAGCAAAGGAAGATGGTATCGATGCACATGTCGTACACATCAAAGAACAACACTGTCACCACATAAGCAAAGATGATGGTGATCTATGACAAAAGATAATGTGTTGAATCAGTGACGGTAAAAAGGTTATCAATAGAAGGTTAGAGCTGAGTGTGCAATGACGAAATTTGTTTTGTTTCATTGTTACTATATTTAAATAGGCCCTTTGCAGCTAAGCAATCATTAATGCTGATTAATTCACTGAGAGCAAATGAATGAACATTTTGATTCCCATGGGTGAAATTTACTGGACTGCAAACAACCTTTCTGCAACCGTGAGATCGTAATAAAACTACATTTCCTAACACACTGGATACATCATCATGTCATTGAGTTCTTTACAAGTAGCTAAAAAGAATCACCAATTTAATATAAAAACAAAAATTTTGCCCTCCAGTACAGACACGTGACCGTTAACTGCAAAGGGCCTATTGCTAACCAGAAATTTATTGTACAATCCAATGAAGAAAAATGACAAAATGCTTGGCACATTTACATCACAATAACGGGCAATGTTTATAAACAAACGACCAACTATACTAAAGTACTCACGATGACTGGCACCACGTCATAGTTGAGGGACGTCGGGTCATCTTCATTGACTTTACGGAACCAGAAGTAGCTCGCCACACCTAGGACAAAATAGAAATCCAATTTCTCAAACTATATTAGGATTTCTCAGAGACCTATTTTCAAATAATTATGGGATTGGAATTTAAAGGGAGGGAGGGAGGGAGTGAGGAAGGAAGGAAGGAAGATTCTAAAGTATTTTATCTTACCTATGATGCCAGTGACAAAAACCTTCCCAAGAAACAACAAAAATGAAGTGACGCTGTTCACTGCTGCGACCCTGGTACAGCAAACGATAGAATCAAATGTGAACACATTTTACGACTGATAGTTGCCAATTATCATGATGATGATGACAATCTCCTCACCTGAGTACATTCCTGAGCAGCAGTTGAAAGGCATCTTTGGCAGAGGAACAGAAATTCTTGCCATAAATCGCAATCTGTTAAGCACAAATAACACAAACACCATCAGCTATTAAAGTAAACTGAACACAGGCAATTCTAAGAACCTTGTCGTTGACCGACTCCAGCCTACGCGACTGGACCTATAGGGAGTATGGGTAGCAATCACTGAAGCGGTTTAAATAATCTCTCTGAATTAATAGAAACAATGGTTTGAAGTCGAGACTGAACGTGATTCTTTTATTCATCAAGTTCAACCTCGACTTGAAACCATTGTATTGTGATCAGTCAAGTGAATTCAAGAAAGGTTTATTGTTCCCCCTTACGGATATGATAATAACGGCAAGCAACTATTCCTTAAATGTAGTGTTATGTCAGGGATGTTATTATTAGTATACTTACCACAATGTAAGCGTTCTTGTTCAGGAACCTCAGACACTTCTCCAGACACCAGAAACAACACTTACAGCAACTGTTAACATATAAATAAAATAATGGGAATTAATAGAAGTTCAACAGGGTGGCTCTTCTTCCACTGGATTCCAATGAGAATTGAAAGTGGATTTTTGTGGAGTGAAGCAAACCAGACAATCCAGAGAACCCTCCAAGATGGCAAGAGAGAATCACCAAGCAACTCTACTCGTGCATACAACGCTACCTGTCCTTGGCAAGCAAAGCTTATGCTTATGCGAGCGTGATTTCATATACCCTGTCCCAGAGCGAGCGCGATTCTATATACCCTGTTCCAGAGTAGAATCGCTGAAAACCATACCCTGTTTGGCGGCACGTACCCGTATAGCGAATACAGGGGAGTATCCCCCCCGCCCGCCCCCGGGGCTTTCTTGTGTACTATGGTAACAAAAGTTTGCCATTGAAGAGTTGGTACGTGTTCCCTCTCATTTTAAGAAAAGCATGACAATATTTTGTCATATTTTAGGACAGTTGCGCTCTGACATATTATCCTGCCTTAATGTGAAAATATGGGTATAATAATTATGAATTAGAGTTGCTATACTAACCACAGAATGAATTTCACTGCCTTGTTGTCCTGACCATATTCTGTAAAAAAGATTACATGCGTTTGGATAGACCCGGTGAGTGTGGCTCATAATACTTGTAAACAATCGTCAAGTTTTGGCGCCTTTTGAATTACACACGCGTGTAAATGACGTCAACGTGTTTTATTGACGGCAGTCTATTGCAACGTGTATGTCGTGATTTTTGTCTGGGGTGGCCGTGTAGCAATGCAAATGGCGGTAATTCAACATTTTCCATACACTTGTTCACTTGGTTATTCGCACCAGGGGGGGGTCACTCCGCCAAGTCAATGTATCAAGATCTTGGGGGTAAAAATCAGTGATTTGGTATCTTTTAGAAAGGGTGTTAAAATTGAATTTCCAATTTTGGCATTTCTTGGTATCTTTTAGGGTATCTCTTAGGGGTGAAAAATCGTCCAACCCCGCCCTTTTTCAAGGAATATAAGAGTATAGCTGGTACTTTTACCCTTGATTCCCCCCCTGGCATTAGTACCAGGTATTGAATCAAATTGGGTGTGACCAATAAACCGATGTATGCACACTTTTCCATACACCAGTTTACCCAGTCATTAGCACTAGGCATTGATTCAATTATTATGCAGGGTGAAAATAGGAATGATACTTGAAAAATACTCTTCTCTATCGAGTGCTTTGGTTGTGACCAGTGAACCAATGTATGCAAACTGGAAAATAAAGATCAAGAGTACGTGACCCAGATTACCTTTTAGTTTCCTATCAATATATTCCAGCACTGCTCTGATCATCTGTACTATAGCTATGATAGCTGCACCAAAAGCCAGTGATCCTGTGTGGTACCTGGAAAATAGTAGGTCATAGGTATCAATACCATTTAATACAAGGAGTGGTGTTGACCCTCCTTGGAATTCATCCCCTGGTAAAGTAGGGTGGGACCTATAGCAATAAAGACACCATACCCACACCTATCCTGCATGGAATCAACTGGTTCTGGTTGCATACATGTTACAACAATCCGTTTTTCCAAGGTATTTTTCTGAAAGAACCCCTACACTACACCACTGTGTCTTTTAGCCATTCCGAGGTGAAAGATTGGGTCAAGTTGGCATTGCTGTGCATTGTGGGATTGTCTTAGGGGACAAAATAGACGCCATCTTCAATGTATGTCCCTGGAAACAGTCCCACAATGCACTGTAATGCCAAAGTGACACAGTCTTTTACTCAACCTTGAAACGGCTAATTCTCGTCGTCATCATCATCATCATCATCATTTTATTTATATAGCGCATTTTCCAATATGCCCAAATGTGCTTCTCATGGGACTTACAATATATTCATAATAAATAAAATAAAATAATAAAAAATGATATATTCTATTTAACAACTATATCTATTTACAATTCTAAATTACTAATATCTAAGCTTCAGTACCATTTTCCTGGTCCTCCCTGCCCAAGTTTCTCTCAAATATTGAAATTTACCTTATTGTCCTCCAGAAAGATGACAAGACTGGCAGGGTGGGGATGTCCTGGAAGAAGTAAGTTGTGATAAAATACCTACAGCACTGTGAAAATTTTGTTCCAAGGATTTCTTGATAAGCTTAAAGACTGGGGAGGGGTGGGGGGGGGGGTGGTTTGGTTTTTTTTATATTTTGAAGCTCCTGGAAGAAGCATTTTCAATTGCTTGTGTGTCCCCTTTCAGGTTCTTTAATGTGCCTAACGTGAGAATTTATGGATTGTCTAACCTCTGGCTTGTCAAAAGCAAAATACCAGGATGCGAAGGCACCAGCAAGAACACACTGACCCAAAGCGATAATGAAGTTCATGATCCACAACCAACCAAAGAAATGATAGACCTGCATCCGCAGAAGATATCTGGTGGCAGATAATAAATAATAAAATAAATAATTATTGATAGAATTTAACAGTGGCATTTCCACAGAGTGGCTCTTCATCCACTGAATTCCAATCAAAATTTAGAAGACAGAACAAAGCAAATTTAAATTCAATAAAATTTCTACTAAATAGGCGACTAATGCACTAACAGGTCATGTGATGCCATCCCCCTTAAAACGAGCAAGTGAGTCAAAATGAACTCCAAAAATGAAAAGAGTGCCCCATATTTAGTGAGAGGGAGAAGTTTCAGCTTGAAATGTTGACTATAGGAGAAATGACATTAAATATAAATTCAAATGTTTTACAAGGATTTGTATGGGAAAAGTGTTGGCTGGTAAGCTTTTGCCATCCAGTGCATTTTTCCATACAAATCTTTATAAAACATTCAATTTTATACAATGTCATAATGCAATTACTCCTGTTTCACTTATTATGAGCTTAAACTCTGCCTTTCTACTAATGTTGAGATGCTCTTTTCATTTCTGTTTTTTATTTTGACTCCCCAGGGAGGAAGGGTCTTGTGACCTGTTAGTGCAAGTCGTCTATTGTTTCCCAACTCTTTGGTGTATGGTTCCCTGGGTGTCTAAGTAACTCCTAAGCCCCCTCCCAGTGTCTAAGGTCCCCTTACCCCTCCCCTCCCCCTGCCAAGAGACAGAAAGGCTCTGAAGAGCTATGAGGAGAGTACCCCTAGGACTATACTTACTTGTTTTCCTTGTATCCTATAAGAATACAGCTGGCAGATGTATTGGGATACATCGAATCAAATGTCTGCAATAAAAGAAAGTTCAACATTAGGGGAAGAGTCAGAACAATGGTCCAAAATAGTAGCCAACTTTGGATATTCTGGTTGAGTGATCAAGCAGAAAAAATCTGAGTTGAGGCTCTGGGGAAACAATAATGCAATCATATTATCATTTACTCAGATTGTTTTATCTCAACCAGAATATTCATTGAAAGTTAGCTATCATCTTTTAGAGACCTGTTGAAATACTTGATACTTGATGAGTGTCAGCAGTGACCATTTCCTTTCCTATAAAATACTGGCAGAAAAAAAGGAGCAGGTTTTGTAAATCATTACCTTGGCATTGCAATCAGCTGAGTTTGTCAGGTTATAGATGTCATTTTCTGGTACATCGACAGTCTCATATTGTGGCTTACCATTAGTAGAAAGGTAACTGATAAGTTATACGCAGTCAAGGAAATCATCAAGGTTCAAAAATAAAATCTTACAAGGAGTTTTCATGAGGGCCCTGGAAGAAATTTTAAAAATTCCAGAAGTTTTCTAGGAATTCACGGTTCAATTTATTATAAGAATCTTGGAAACCATCATCAACGCATGTGTACTCTGGCTAAAATATTAGTATATGATAAATTTATAGAATTAAAAATATAAATTATAAACATTTTTTTTACTTCATTGCAGGGAAAAATCATTCAGTCTCCTGAGCCAGAGACTCATGATTTACCTTTCAATTCCAGGAATAATTGGAGTCCCCGGGGAATGGGGGGGGGGTACTCCCCTATATTCGCTATACGGGTACGTGCCGCCAAACAGGGTATGGTTTTCAGCGATTCTACTCTGGAACAGGTTATATAAAACCGAGCTCGCTCTGGGACAGGGTATATGAAATCACTCTCTCTCCTCTCTGGAACAGGGTATCTATTTTTGCAATACCGTAACAGGGTATGAATTTCAGCAAATTTTTACTCTAGAACAGGTTCAGGGTTCAGAGGGCTCAGCAGCACATCCCTACCCTAAACGGGCAAGATAACCCCCAGGCTCTATTCACATACAACACCATGCCTATGAATCGCACTCGGGTTGCACTGGCAAGAGAGTGCGTATTCACAGCGAACACAACTCGTGCTTCCCATTAATATTATAAATAATTAAAAATAACTAATGAGAGTTAATTAATAATTTTTGATGAATAAAGGATACAGCAAAACAGCAATGAACCAGACAAACAAAATGAGCTGCATCAACCAAGGAATAAGAGGAAAAAACAGAGTAGAAAGCATTGAAGATAAGGCCCTGAAGATAGAATCAAATGGTAGTATTGTTAAGGGGGAATACACTATCTTTTGATTTGTACAATACCACTGTGTTTCTTGATTACAGACTCACTCAATCAGTATATTTTTGTATTAGCCTCAGTTTTAGTGTCCAAATATTAACAAATACCAATGGTATAGTGGCAAAGTAAAGAATGCACAACTTCAACAACGTTTCAGAAACTGCTCTGTTAATCAGCAGTGAAGAAACGTTTTTGAGAAATAGATCAAGTTTCTATAATCCAGACATATTTCGGCGTACATACTGCCATCATCAGTGGATGTTAATGATGTAATAAATGTATAACCTAGATAACCTAGACTAATGTATAACCTAGTTTCAGAAACTATCCCTCATCCATACCCCCAAGAGTGGAGTTTGGAATTTCAGGGGAAAGGGGGGGGGGAGGGAACATGTAAATATTCTACACAAAATTCAAGGCACTAACCCCAAGCAACAAATCGGAATAAAAAAAAAATACACAATTTGGTAGAATAACTAGATTTACACAGAGTAATTTCCATCTAGGCACTTTCTCGTAGATAGTTAATTAGAATTTTGGAAAAACCGGAGAACCCAGGGAAAAACCCTCAAAACACAGGGGAAAACCAACAAACAATTCTACTCATATATGAGGAGTCTGAGGATCAAAACCCTGGTCGCATTGGTGAGAGGCAAGTGCTCTTACAGTCACCCCCTCCTTTGAAAATCCTGGACTCCCCCCCCCCCCCCTTGCCTATAGCTTACTTGCTCGCTTCACTGATCATCTCTACAGCAATCTTGATGCGACTGCACATGACCAATAGGATTAGTAGAATGATCACCAGCATGATGCTCAATAGTATTCCTGACATGAAAATGACATTATTGAATATTAGAAGTATTAAAAAAGAAGTTATTAAAGCCAACGATATTAATAAAAGAACTTAAAATTTGATCAAATTATCCCTGAAACAACCTCAGCTAAATCACAGATATATTTGGGATAATGTTAATAGTGTGTTAGGTTTGTAAGGCAGAGGAATAACTAAAGAACGTGGACACATGCATTCTGAAACTAAGGAGTTTTTTCTAAAAGAACATTGGTTCACCAAAGTTCACGAGTTCAATCAAATGTAATACACCTATTTCAAAAAACGTTGTCAGTCGGAGGTCTGAAATCACCAAAAGACCAAAAGGTAAGCTGTAAATTGTTTGTGGTTTTAATTAGTAGTTTGCAAAAAGTTAATATCTTGATATACTAACTTTGAGCGATGACCTGCACTGGCAAACTGTCTGGGTAAGTGTATATTGAATTTTTAACGAGAAAACACTCAGTCCCTCACAATTCCAATCAGTCTCAGATTTCTGATTTCAGATATCCAACCGACAACGTTTTTTGAAATAGGTGTGTATGATAATTGAAGACGAAAACAAGAACCAAAAAAATTCAACAGAAACTTGAAAACATAATGGCTGTTTTTCGATAAACAAATAAATAACCTACCAAGAGCCAGCCAAGTTTCCTTAGAATCCTTGTAAGTGGACAGATCAACAGTAAACTTGAGTTCAAATGGCTTGCTTTCACCTGAATCGTTCAACATCTTGAACTTGGAGAAGCACCAGTACATGCCTGGGTAAATAAATGAAATGTCAATGAAATCCAATAAAAGTGCACTTACTTGTAACATATCACCTCACAACTCAAAAGTAAAATCTGTAAAATCCACGAGACCATGTAATTATCCCGGGGGGGGGGGGGTTCTCCGCCAGAATTTGGGTAGGGGTGTTCCACTGGGATTCTGAAAGGGGTACCCTGTTTATGACAAAAAAAATCAAATTTGTAGACCCTGTTTATGACAAAAGATATAATTAATTGCACTGAGTTCCTGTTTCAATTATCATGTCATCTCGCGTATCATTTCTTTACGACCATAATAACCAGTTTCGATCAATACGAAATTAGAAACCTTGAATATGACAAGAAACTCAGGAAGAATTTGGATCTTGAGTGAAATTGCATACCCTGTTTATGACAAGAAGCTCGA